GAGATAACAAGGTGTGGAGCTGGAGGAATACAGCAGGCCAGGCAGCATCAGAAGAGCAGGAAAGCTGACGTTTCAGGTCTGGACCCTTCTTCAGAAATGGGGGAGGGGAAGAGGACTCTGAAATAAATAAATAGAGAGAGAGAGGGAGGTGATGATAGAAGGTGGATAGAGGAGCAGATAGGTGGAGACGGACAGGTCAAGGAGGCAGGATTGAAACCAGTACAGGTGAGTGTAGGTAGCGAGTTGGGATGGGAGTTAGTCTGTGAGGAGGGAGGGGCGGGTAGGTGGGACAGAAGACAGACGGGTCAAGGAGGCGGGGACAAGAGGGGCTGGTCTTGGGATGAGGTCAGGGGTGGGGAGATTTTGAAGCTTGTGAAGTCCACATTGAGACCATTGGGCTGCAGAGTTCCCAGGCGGAATATGAGGTGCTGTTCCTCCAGCCTTCGGGTGGCATCGTTGTGGCACTGGAGGCGGCCCAGGATGGGTATATCGTCCAAGGAGTGGGAGGGGGAGTTGAAGGGGTTCGCGACTGGGAGGTGTTGTCGTTTGTTGCGAACTGAGCGTAGGTGTTCCACAAAGCGGTCTCCGAGCCTCCGCTTGGTTTCTCCGATGTCAAGGAGGCCACATCGGGAACAGCGGATACAATATACCACATTAGCGGATGTGCAGGTGAACATCTGCTTGATGTGGAAGGTTTTCTTGGGGCCTGGGATGGAGGTGAGTGGGGAGGTGTAGGGGCAGGTGTAGCACCTCGTGCGGTTGCAGGGAAAAGTGCTGGGTGTGGTGGGGCTAGTGGGGAGTGTGGAGCAGACGAAAGAGTCGCGGAGAGAGCGGTCCCTCCAGAAGGCAGATAAGGGTGGGGAGGGAAATACATCCTTGGTAGTGGGGTCACGTTGCAGGTGGCGGAAGTGGCAGAGAATGATGTGTCTGATCCCCTATGCATACTATACAGAACATACAGCAATTAAGTTTTTCAAATTTATTTAGTCTCTTTGGGATTTATGTCACATTAATGAAAATATTTTAAGTTATGAACAAGATGACTGATAAATCAGATTTTAAAAATGATGGAAAAACTTGAGAAATCAATATTCTAGTCATTCAAATTTAACCTTAAACCATCCTTAATGTGATATTTGTGAACTAGGTTTTGGCGAACCATGAAAGGAATGAAAAATCTTCGTTGCAGCTACCCAAGAGGGTTAAAAAGAAGAGAACTGATTAACTTCTCCTCATTTGGTAACTATTTTGGTAACTATTAAACTAACACCCTGACCCCGCCTCACCACCAACCTATGGCCAGACCTGAACCAAACCTCTGACCTGATCCCCAATTCATAGCCCGATTTCACTCTTCCCACCTCTGGTCCTGCACTCACCAGCTAAGGTCCATTTGATATAACTGCATCCCCTACCTGACAAACTCCTCCCTGACCCTGCCAACTGCATCCAACCCCTCCCCCACACCATCAATCCCCAAACCAGCCCTTGGACAGGCCCACCCCAATAATGCAGAACTCCCTCACTCAACAAGCCAACACTAACCCTGACCTACTATACAAACCCACTTACTTATCAGTCTCCCTATGCCACATTAGCCCATTCGGCACCCTGTGCCCTCACTCACCTAGCAACCCAAACTCTCATCTGCCTGACACAGCACATCCTACTCTCTTACACTCTGTGGCTCGCTCTCACAGATTTCTTGACTGGTACAATTCAACAGATTGGACTGTCGGCCAGGATGGGGTAAACGGGGGATTGGAGCTCAATCTGCACAAATTTGTGCATGATCTATGGCACAAAGGTTGCAACTTAAACTTACACATCTGTAGTTTCTTGCAACATCTGACACCCTCTCCATATGACTCCCACCCCGTGATCTGTCTGAGAAGATACCTGCCAGACCCAATGTTCTTTTGTTTATGGGTTGCTGTGCCTACAGCAACCACGGAGGCTTACAAAGCATGACTGCTCACAGGGTCTGCCATTCTGACTAATTGGCAGCTTCATGCAAAGCAGGACAACACTCTTCCAGGAACAAAAACAAAGTTGCTGGAAAAGCTCAACAGGTCTGACAGCATCTGTGAAGTAAAAAATCAGAGTTAACGTTTCGGGTCTGGTGACCCTTCCTCAGAACTGATGGTAGCTGGGAAAACATTAGTTTAAAATGCAGAAAACAGGGAGGGGGAGTGGGGTGGGGAAGTAAATGATAGGTGTCAGCCTAATGAGAGAGAAGAACAGTTGAACAGTCAAAGGAGGTCATAATGATCTGGCTGGGAGGATGAATAGCTGTTAATGAGGACTGTTAGTGACTAACAACAGGTGGTGCATACTGGCAGGCTATGTGATAACAAAGCCTGGTGTGTGAGGTAGGGGGCTAGGACATGGGTGAGTTTAGGCCCTAAAATTATTTGTCTCGATATGGAGTCCGGAGGGCTGCAGGGTCCCCAAGCGGAAAATGAGGTGTTGTTCTTCCAGACATAACAAGGTGTAGAGCTGGATGAACACAGCAGGCCAAGCAGCATCAGAGGAGCAGGAAGGCTGACGTTTCGGGCCTAGACCCTTCTTCAGAAAATCAGTTCCTACTATCTCTGTTGTTCTTCCAGCTTGTGTAGAAACACTGCAGGTAGCCTGAGACAGAGACGTTGGCCAGGGAACAGGGTGATGTGCTAAAGTAACAGGCAATGGGTAGTTCAGGGTCTTTTTTGTGAGCAGAATGTAGGTGTTCTGCAAAGCAGTCACCCAGTCTACACTTCATTTCCCCAATGTAGAGGATACCACATGTGAGCAGTGAATGCAGTAGACTAGATTCTGGGAAGTGCAGGTGAAGTGTTGCTTCACCTGGAAGGTATGTTTGGGCCCTTAGATACTGGGGAGGGAGGAGGTAAATGGGCAGGCGTTGCACCTTTGCTGGTTAGAGAGGAAGGTGCTGTAGGGCTGTAGGAGGGTGTTGAGGGTGAAGGAAATGTGGACCAGGTTGTCCCAGAGGGAACGGTCTCTGAGGAAGACGGACAAGGGAGGGGAGGGGAATGTGTCTCTAATGTGTGTCTGGTGGTGGCATCTTGCTGGGGGTGGCGGAAATGGCGTCTGATGATCTCCTGGATGTGGATGCTGGTGGGATGAGAGGTAAGGACAAGAGAAACCCTCTCTCTGTTGCAGGAGGGAAGAGAGGGGGTAAGGGCGAAAGTGTGGGAGATGGGTCAGATCTGGTGGAGGGCCCCGTCGACAACAGTGCTAGGGAATCCTCGGTTGAGGAAGAAGGTAGACATTTTGGAGGCTCCCTTGTTGAAGTTGGCCTCATCTGAACAAATGCGACAGAGATGGAGGAACTAAGAGAATGGTACGGAGTCTGTACAGGAAGCAGGGTGCGAGGATGTATAGTCCAGGTAGCTGTGGGAGTCAGTGGGTTTATAGCGGATATTAGTGGCCAGTCTATCCTCAGAAATGGAAACAGAGATGTCAAAGAAGGAGTCAGAGATAGACCAGGTGAAAGTGAGGGCAGGGAAAATGGAAGCGAAAAATCAATGAACTTTTCCAATTCTGGACGAGAGAGGGAAGAAGTCATCCTAGCAGAAAGCCCACAGCGTGCCTACACAAGTGTCTGATGGTTAAGGTTTGGTGGGCTTTCCTATTCGTGGCAACTGTTCTGTCCTTTATGTCTGCCATCAAAAAGCAGAAGACTCCACCTTGTATTAATAAATGCATGTGATTAAGGTGCATCTAAGGTACAGTTTACATGCTACAAACTAGATTGCCCAAATAACAAACAATAAACTTTCTTATTAGCACTGATGGTCATATATAAATTGATT